TGTCTTTATTGTTACAGTGTATGGGTGTGTGTGTCTGTGTTGTTACAGTGTATGGGTGTTTGTGTCTGTGTTGTTACAGTGTATGGGTGTGTGTCTGTGTTGTTACAGTGTATGGGTGTGTGTGTCTGTATTGTTACAGTGTATGGGTGTGTGTCTGTGTTGTTACAGTGTATGGGTGTGTGTCTGTGTTGTTACAGTGTATGGGTGTGTGTGTCTGTGTTGTTACAGTGTATAGGTGTGTGTGTCTGTGTTGTTACAGTGTATGGGTGTGTGTCTGTGTTGTTACAGTGTATGGGTGTGTGTGTCTGTGTTGTTACAGTGTATAGGTGTGTGTGTCTATGTTGTTACAGTGTATAGGTGTGTGTGTCTGTGTTGTTACAGTGTATGGGTGTGTGTCTGTGTTGTTACAGTGTATGGGTGTGTGTCTGTGTTGTTACAGTGTATGGGTGTGTGTCTGTGTTGTTACAGTGTATGGGTGTGTGTGTCTGTATTGTTACAGTGTATGGGTGTGTGTCTGTGTTGTTACAGTGTATGGGTGTGTGTCTGTGTTGTTACAGTGTATGGGTGTGTGTGTCTGTATTGTTACAGTGTATGGGTGTGTGTCTGTGTTGTTACAGTGTATGGGTGTGTGTCTGTGTTGTTACAGTGTATGGGTGTGTGTGTCTGTGTTGTTACAGTGTATAGGTGTGTGTGTCTGTGTTGTTACAGTGTATGGGTGTGTGTGTCTTTATTGTTACAGTGTATGGGTGTGTGTGTCTGTGTTGTTACAGTGTATGGGTGTTTGTGTCTGTGTTGTTACAGTGTATGGGTGTGTGTGTCTGTATTGTTACAGTGTATAGGTGTGTGTGTCTGTATTGTTACAGTGTTTGGATGTGTGTGTGTCTGTGTTGTTGCAGTGTATGAGTGTATGTGTCTGTATTTCTACAGTGTATGAGTGTGTGTGTATGCACAAGTGCGTGGGTGCAAGCGTGTGTGTGTGTGTGTGTGTGTGTGTGTGTGTGTATGTGTGATAACATGTGTGTCATGATGCACTTGTAGAGATCAGAGGACAACTTTCAGGTCTGGGATTGGATTGGGCCATTACTCTCTGCAGCAGGCTATTTTAACCACTTGAGCCATCTCTCCAGTCCACTCCCCAGAACTTTTGTGACTTATTTTCATAAGGCCATTGGAAATAGGCTTGTGTCCTGCTTGCTTCGTGTGTTCTGGGCTAGTTCCTCCATTGGAAAATGTAAACACCTGACTTGTATACTATGGGAAGAAAAACATGTATATTACAGAAAGATGAGTGTGGCAAACATACTGACTGCTGTGTGTACACTGGACAGATCTCTCCCTCAGGGAGTTCTTCATCTAGCAGGAGAGACATGGCAGCAAGAAGATTGCACAGACCTCCAACACTTCTACAGAGTCATGAGCCTTAAAAGATGACTTACCCAGTTGGGTAAAGGATATGAGGGACAGATGGGAGTGTACAGAGGTCAGCTGGCCAGGAAGAAGCCAGGCCTCACTGAAGACCCAGCCCCCACCACAGGTTGATATTTTAGAGATCTGGGGAGAGACTAACCCTGTCTTGATCTTGCCCTGGACTGTGTATCGCACTGAGGGTACTGAATGTAGCACATGTCCTTTGGTAGTTTGGACAGTAGGGAGACAGAAGGAGGCCTGAGCTCTGCTCTCTAGCACCCAGTAGCTCCAGTTAGTTCTTTAGATGTGTCAGAACACCCGACAAAAACAGCTTACGGAAGGAAGGACTTCTCTTGGCTCACAGTTTTGGGGCTCACAGTCCCTCATGGCAGGGAAGGCATGGAGGCAGGAGAGTAAGGGAGGGGGTTACACTGCATCTGTTGTCAGAAATCCAACAGGTGAACCTGTACTCGGCTCACATTTCTCCTGTTTATTTGTTCCAGGACCCCAGCCCATGCAATGCTGCTGCCTACATTTAGAGTGGGTCTTAGCATCTCAGTTAACCTAGTCTAGAAACTCAGACTTGCAGATGTGCCCAGAGATTTATATCCTAGATGATTCTAGACCTGTTAAGTTCCCGGTATTAACTAACAGACTGCCAGGTCACTACACCTGAATTCCAGCTATGGAAGTTTTATAGCTAGTTATATGATGTTCACACAGCTGAATGTGGAACATTTTTAATCCCAACATAGAGTTTGAGACAGTTGAGACTCTGACTGAATAAGTATCTTCTTGACAGCTAAGGCCTGTCTGCCATACCACTCACTCCCTCTGCAGGCATTTCTGGAACAAGGGGCCACATAGCTTTCAGAATACCCAGGGACATCTTTTCCACTTCTCAAACCTTACCAGCCACCTCCTAACTCCACCCTGCCACACCAGAAGATAGCCCCTCAGGAGCTTGTCTCTGGGCCTCCACATCCTGACACTGCCCTTCTGAACCAACCTCCCTTGCCCTTCTTCCCTGCACAGTGAAGGCACAGACAGGTCTTTCCTACCTGACTGAATCTGGAGCTCGGTTCCCACACCTAGGAAGCAACTGATCAGGACTGGGTGAAAGACACAGCCTGAGAGGAAGCATGTGAGAGTAAGCAGCCACAGACTTCCAAGTCCATAGCCAGGAGCACCATAGCCACCAAGGAAATTCAGAGGGGAAGGCCTTTCTTGAACAAGGACATGTTCCCAATCAGAGAACAAGAGGCAAGAGAGTGACTTAATGCATTAGTCAGTGCCAGACTCCTGGGAGGGTCCCAGCTGGGCCTGGTGGGAAAGACTTCTCATGAAAATGTCACCATGATCAAAAGCACTCTCTGGTGTGGCATGGGATGGCCAAGGAGGTCGTGTGAGCCCTGTATGAGGGATGGTGCTATCAATATCTCCTTGCCAGGAAGGTTGGTGTTGGTGGCAACTTTTTGGGGTAAAAAGCATAAAGAAGAGATAAAAAAGATCCCGTAACTTTTTATGTATTGTCACCAAGATTTTTGTGTGTATGTGTTTGCGTGTGTGGACTCTAGAGTCAGCCTCAAGTGTTGTTCCTTAGATGCCATCTACCTTTTCATTTGAAACAGGGTCTCACTGGCATAGAGCTCCCCAGTTCAGTGAGGCTTGTTACTTGCCCACAACCCCCCAGCCTCCTTGTTCCTGAGTCCCAGCCCTGAGAGTACAAGCATTTGCCACCTCACCTGGCTGTTTTATGTGAGTGTTGGGAGTCAAACTCGGTCCTCATGCTTTTACATCATACACTTTACCAACTTATCTCCCCCACCCACCTGAGCGTTTTGTAGTGGTGGACATCACATACTGGGTGTGAGTAGCTGACTCGTGGGGAACTTCACAAGGAAAATCTCACTACTAACATGGCCAGTCCTGAATGTATTAAATAAAGTAGCCATGGCTGTTGACTACGGTAGCTTGGCAGGATTTCCCTTGACAGCTCTGTGGAACGTTACCTACCCAGGGACTGATCGAGTATACTGCCTAACAGAGCACTGTTTGCAGAGAAGACAAAACCTAGCCACTGATGGATGGGGAGCCCAGAGGTCTGGCCCTGCTCCTTCTACAGAGATGATTGTGGAGATTAGGTAGTAGTCAACACCTAATTCCAGGCCCCAGAGTGACTGAAATCCATATGTGTGCCCTCAGGACCCAAATCTGCCCCAGCACAAGTAGCCTGTCTGGGCACAGCTACCCCACCCACCTCCCAGTCTACCATGTGACTTTCCAGGTGATTCAAATGCTGTTTCCAGGGCCAATCACTTGTAAGGGTTGGGGGCATCAAGATGGCTCAGTGGGCAAAATAACTTCTGAGCTAAAAAGAAAGTCAGCAGGGTAGGCTGGAGAGATACTCGGGCTAAGAATACCTCCTGCCCCTGCAAAGGACGGCACATCAGTGATAATTGCCTGTCACTGTAGGAAAGTGCTTGCCTGTGTGCAACCTGCTGTCTTCGTTTACACAGCATTTACCTAAGGTGCTTGTGACTATCTGCTGTGTCTTTGCCCTTGCCCCTCCTTGCTATGAGATGTGTGTCCACGCAGCACACTGAGTCCTTTCCAGTTCTTTCCGCCACAGCTTGGCATTCCTCCCTCCGCCCTGGGTTTTGCATGTACTTCCATCTTTGTGAGGGAGGATCTTCTGTGGCTCCAGAGAGCAGAGCTGCTCCCTCAGCCATGTGGCAGTCATTTTACGCACTTACTGAAAAGTGCAAGCAGGGAGCTGGCAATGTAGTTCACTCGGGTGGACTGTTTGCCTGAATGCAGTTCTGGGCTCCATCCCATCATTGCATAAACTGGCCTGGTGGTGCATGCGTGCAACCCCAGACTTGGGAGGTAGAGGCAGGAAGACCAGAAGTTCAGGGTCATCTTCAGCTATACAATGAATTAAATCCCAGTCTGGGAGAAATAGATGAATGGATATAATTAGTTAACTGAAAATTAAAACGACAAGGTAAAAAGCATCATGGACACAGATACCTGGGCACCAGCTTCCCACAAGGGATTCCCTAGGAAAGGCCGGCCTTCTAGAGCCTGTCCTGCCACCTGAAGTTCAGCCCCTCTTAGGGGACAAGAGTATAAAAGACACTGATTTCCTCCGGGAGGCTTTGCATCAGAGGGTCCTATTGGCCCCTAAGCAAGTATTTACTCTCAGGTCCTAATCTCCCAGGGCAGAGATCCTCTACTGCTAGGGTAGGAATTGCCCGAGGGGTCCCTCTCTGAGACACCACCCTGGGGAAGGCTGAGAAGCATTGTCGCTAAGGAGGTCTCTAGGTGGTGGGTGCAACTGTAAAAACAGGTTCAGTTGCTACTATATGAGTGGGGACACGTTTGGAGAGCACTGCCGAAGTTTCGGCCCCAACCCCCAGGCCTGGACTTCCTTATGCCACACAACAACCCAGGTTGCTTTTAATTTTCCTTAGCAGTGTTGGAGGAAGTCGGTGATTGTGCTTGGCTTCTGGAGTGCGACAGGAGTGGTGTCGGTCCTTTTCAAAACTCTTGAGGCAGGCGCCACTTACTCCTCTGTGGTCCCTTTCCAGGTGGTGCGGGCTGCTGAAGAGGCTGCATCGACACTCGCCAGCTCCATCCACCCAGAGCAGTGCATCAAAGTGCTGTGCCCCATCATCCAGACAGCCGACTACCCCATCAACCTGGCTGCCATCAAGATGCAGACTAAAGTGGTAGAGAGGATCACCAAGGAGTCCTTGCTGCAGCTGCTGGTCGACATCATCCCTGGCCTGCTGCAGGTATGCATCCTGTGAGGCCCAGCTCAGCCACTCAGCATGAGGAGGGCCGGACCGGAAGCCACAGTGATGAATGACACTGTCCTTGGAACCCATGTCCTCTATTTAGAAACTTTTGTTGACATATATTAATAATGAGTTTAGCTGGGTCGTGGTGGTGCACGCCTTTAATCCCACCACTCAAGGGTGGCCGAGGCAGGCCCATCTCTGTGAGTCTGAGGCCAGCCTGGTCTACAAAGTGAGCTCCAGAACAGCCAGGACTACACAGAGAAACCCTGACTCAAAAAAAAAAAAAAAAAAAGCTTGATTGTGGCCTTTCCAGTCCACGAATTTGGTTGTGTCTGTCCACCATGTCCATCTCCTGTCCCTCTCCCAAGGGCCCTATTCCCCTTCCTTCTGCTTTCATGTATTTATTTACTTTCTGCTAGTTTGTTTGATTTTGAAAGCTCAGGTTTTGTGAGAGTGTTCTCTAGCTGATGCTTGTTTTAATCTATTAAAATCAAGCATAGCCCTTTTAGTCAGTCTACCCATGTCCTTTGCTCGTGAGGCAGAGGCTCTCAAGAACACACGACCACTTGTGACTAGACTAGAAATATTTTATATGCCTTGACAACGTGGTGGGTTTCATAGAGGTTGCTTACAGGAGTGTGGGTAGGGGGTTATTCACAGGAAGATGAGCACCTAGCCAGTGCTGCACCACTGAAGAAAATGTCTCTCCTGTTCCCAGCAACCATTAACTGTCTGTAGGTACTTCTCTTGCCCCCATGACAGGATGTTGGTTGCACAAACACGTCTTAGCCCACTTGCTCCTACATGCAGCAAAGATAACTGATAGTCCAAATTAGCCCCTGTGGTTCAAGGAATGAACCTTCAGTCATTGCTTCAGTAAACTCCTGTGGATCAGCCCTGGGCCAAAGGGGCACATAAAGTGCTCTCCTGCCCAAGAGGCAGGGAGCTGGGCAGACTGATGAGCAGTGTTCTGTAAGACATGGTAGGACCACATTGCAGCTGCAGGTGACAGTGTCCTGGCTGTGTCACATCAATACATCAAGAGTGGGCATCAGTGAAGAAAGGTAGAGAAACTAGCTTCCCATTTCTTGCATGCTGCTGTTTTCTGTTTGCCAGGGCTTGTTTGGACTTACTGTTGAAGACTGTCACATATGGAGGGGAAGACAAAGGCTGTACCATTGTCATGGCTATCTGTAGCAAAGCACATGACCCCATTTTGGGTGGGACATGAAGGGCACACTAAGTCCCTGCAGTCCCTGCAGTAGAGAAATCTGCTTTTAGGAATGGGTTTTGGTTTGGTTTGGTTTTTGGTTTGGTTTTGTGTGTGTGTATGTGTGTGTGTGTGTGTGTGTGTGTGTGTGTGTGTGTGTGTGTACATGCATGTTGGTCAGAGAACAGCTTGAGGGCCTGCATTTTCTCCTGTCACTCTGTGAGTCCTAGGCATCAGGCTTGGCAGTACATGCCTTTGCCTGCTGAACTACACCCCCTCTCTTTTCTTTTAAGTCATTTCTACTCGGGCAGTTTGCTCCTCTCCACCACCAGGAGGAACCTGGATGAAACATTTGTTTCTCCACAGCTTCCCAGAGTTTTCTCTTTCCATTCCTCCTCCCTCTGGCCATCTCTACTGTCAGCACCTTGTAAGAAAGCAGCCCGCCTGGCACCCACGTCCTCCTGCCCTGCATGCCACTCATGCAGCCAGTCACTTCTGACCCTCCCAGGCAGATAGACGCTCTCTGGATTCACGGGCAGGTCTGAGATCTATGTTGTTGTTACTGACAAGTCCAGGGTTGCACTCTGAGGCCGTCTGTGGAAGCGTTACTGAAGCACTGGCTAGAGGCACAGCTTTGATCTGACTTCCTCTCTGTTCCCCTTTGACTCTCTAGGGTTACGACAACACCGAGAGCAGTGTGCGGAAGGCCAGCGTGTTTTGCTTAGTGGCAATCTATTCCGTAATCGGAGAAGATCTGAAACCTCACCTGGCACAGCTCACGGGGAGTAAGGTATGTATAGTGTTACCTGCTGTTGCCCGCACCTGGGCCGCCAGCTCATCGTGAGCCCCTTGGTGGCAGCTCTTTTCATTGGGTGTGTTTAGCTGTCTGCTTCTCAGAAGGCATTTTTCCCTAAGGTGAAAATGACTGGCTATGTGGTAAAGCCATGGGAAGGGGGTGCCGAATGACAGGCACACCATTAGCTACTCTAGCTGGTTTTAAAAAAACAGCCTAACTTTCAGCATACCTACTGAAAGGGTGTCTACTGAGCAAGGATAACCTTGCCCAGAAGCCAGGTTTTCTCCACGCCCTTCCCCATGGAATCACTAAAGAAATTTACCTCAGGGTGTGCAAGTTGGTTAAGTGGGTAAAAGTGCTTGTCATGAAGCCTGACAACCTGTGTTTGATCCCTGGAACCCGCATGAAGGTGGAAGGAGAGATCCAAACTCCACATGCATTCTGTGGCGTGCACTTAGGCGCACACACACACACACACACACACACACACACACACACACACACACACAAATAATTTTAAGATTACCTCATCCTTGAACGAATTGCTAAACTAGAGTTAAGTGCCTTGTGGGCATCAGCAGTGGGAATGGCAGCCTCGCCCTGGGCCTGCTGCACCTCAGACTCTGTTCCATATACTCAGCATGCCAGTGAGAGCAGAATCCAGGGGCACAGACCCTGCTCCTTGTGAGAGGAATTTTCTAGTGCCGTGTGTTTCAAGTTGGGCTGCCACTTTGACACAGCTGGGGAGCACCATAACCAGAGCCTTACTCTTCGGTATTCACGATGCCCTGCCACGAGACGGGATTCCCTAAGGGGCAAGAATGGCCATTCTATCCAGCCTGCTGAGGGTGCACGCTGCCCAGAGTGCCCTGCTTTCTGTCTGAGCAGAAACATGCAGGACAGTTGCTGCTTTGACACTGCTGGGTTGCATCATAGCCAGGGCAGCGATGGCCTATTTCCCCAGCGACCCTGGGGCCACTTGCTTGTGGAAGCTCACCCGTACAGTGTCAGAAGTTTGGCCAGCAACCCCAACCACCATCTACATGCCAGTAGCTCTCCCTTTAATTGTAAGGTCATTATCCTTAATGGGTCTACACATGCTGTCCCCCGAGAGCAAAACTGTATAGTTGAGAACCAGTAGCCCAGAGGACATACTCTGAAGACACATGGAAAGAGGCAACAGAAGCAAGTGGGGGTGAGGTAGATGAGGCTTGGGAATGTTTGCCTAGTGTGCACAAAGCCCTGGGTTCCACCCCCACACTGCGTAAAGCTGGTTTGGTAGTTTTTACCTGTAATCCCAGTGCTCAGGTAGTCAGAAGGATCAGAAATTCAAGATCATCTGCAGCTACATGATTAAAGGCTAGCCTGAGTTACATGAGACTCTGGATGGACAGACGAACAGGTTGAGTTAAAGGCTAGCCTGAATAACATGAGTGAATGGAGAGAGAGAGAGAGACAGAGACAGAGACAGAGACAGACAGAGAGACAGAGAGACAGAGACAGAGGTGGATGGATGGATGGATGGATGGATTGGTGGATGATACACTCACCCTTACCTGACCCAATCTTACCTCCTTCCTACCAGGACTCTGATCAGATTTCCCCCCCCCTCCCCCAGAAAGAGTTTCTCTGTGAAGCCCTGACTGTCCTGAAACCCTTTCTTTTCTTTTCTTTTCTTTTCTTTTTTTTTGGGGGGGGGGTTTCGAGACAGCGTTTCTCTGTAGCTTTGGAGGCTGTCCTGGAACTCACTTTGTAGACCAGGCTGGCCTCAGACTCACAGAGATCCGCCTGCCTCTGCCTCCCGAGTGCTGGGATTAAAGGCGTGCACCTCCAACGCCCGGCCTGAGACTCTTTCTATAGAAAAGGCTGGTCTGGAACTACCTCTATAGACCAGGCTAACCTCAAACTCAGATACATCTGCCTCCTGAGTGCTGGGACTAAAGGTGTGTGACACTACACCTGACTCCGATTGATTTCTTTTTGTTTTGTTTTGTTTTTGAGATAGAGTTTCTCTGTATTGTTTTTTAGCCTGTCCTGGAATTCACTCTGTAGACCAGGCTGGCCTTGAACTCACAGAGATCCGCCTGCCTCTGTCTCCTGAGTGCTGGGATTAAAGGCGTGCGCCACCAACGCCCAGTCTGATTGCTTTCTTGACTGTAAATGAAAAATGGTAGTGGTAATGACACAGCAAGACCCTATCCATAAAGGGAATTGGGCTTACAAATGAATCACTCTAAAAGTATCACCCAGCCCTTTCTGATATATATGGTTTATTCGTGCCTCTTCCCTCATAAGGGTTATAAATTCTTGCTCTGTTAATTGTGCCTTGTGGCATACAATTTTTAATTTCGAAGATAAATTTGTCTACTTTTCTTGTTTCCTGGATCTTTAGGGTCCCATTCCAGAAAGCATTACCACATCCACTGTCATGAAACTGTTGCCTAGCTTTCATGTGAGTTTCAGAGTTTAAGCTCTTAGATCTTTTAGATTCAGGTTTGTGATTCACTTGGACTTTTTAACTCTGCCCCTTCCCATCCTGTGTGTCCCTTTTGTCCCCCACCGCAGGTGGCTTTGCTTCTGCCTCACTGTCATGTCATATGTACATGATTTCATACTCCCATGTAAGTTCCAGGAACCACATACGAGAGCAAAGTGTTTGTCTTTCTGAGACTGGCTTAATTCCCTTAATATGATTATCTCCAGTTGCATCCATTTTCCTGCAAATGACATAATTTTGTTATTCTTTATGGCTGAAAAAATTCCATTGTGTATGTGAACCACATTTTCTTTATGATTTCTCTGCTATTGGATACCTAGCTGGCTCCATTTGGGTTCATTTTTGTCTATGGTGTTAGGTGAGGTTAAACTTGATTCTGTTGTGGATAGCTATCCACCCCCTGGCATCGTCGTGTGCTGTGACGATAATCTTCTTTCGTCACAGTCTAGATACCATTGTCAAATATCTGTGGGAAGGGTTCCTTGCGGGTTCTGTGCCACTCTACTGATTCACGTGTGCCTAAGTGTTTATGCCAGTACCACATGGCCGGCTTTGGATTTGAGTCCTAAGAATCAAACTCAGCTCATTAGGCTCAGGAGTGCTTTATCCACTGAGCCATCTCACTGACCCCAGTGTTTTGGGATTTTTGAGATATCGTCTGGCTCTGTGGCCCAGACTGGCTTCAAAATTGCCCTCCTGCCACAGGCACCAGCCACCACACCATGCTGAACGTTATCTGTTGCTGTTGTTTTTCTTTTTACAGTGCTGGGGAAAACCAAAGCCATGATAGGCTTCATGGAGTCAACCACAGTAATCTCAGGTGTGGCTGGCATCAGTAGGTGTCTGTAGGGGGTCCTGGGGGAAGGGGCAGCTGCAGCACAGGTGGGGGCTTTAACTCTGTGCTGTGTCGGCCCCACCCCATGCACCTTCCTCAGCAGCCCTGGCAGTGTACCCTGAGCTAATCCACAGCACCCCAACAGAGCATCTGGGCACCAACTGTCTTCAGGCACCAAACCGCAGACCTCTCTCCTGCTTCTTACTGATTTCCCCTGCTCACTCATCTTCGTTTTCTTCTCTCTACAGATGAAGCTGCTGAACTTATACATAAAAAGGGCCCAGACCACCAACAGCAACAGCAGCTCTTCCTCTGATGTGTCCACACACAGCTAGTGGCCATGCCAGTCTGTGAAGAACACATAGTGGTGGTTGGTGCCTCTGAGAAGCTCCATCAGCTGCCCAGTCCACTCGAGGAGGCCACACATAATTTATTACAATCAGTATTTTGGTCCCTTCCAGCTTTTGTGTAGAATTTTGCTGGTATTGAATGTAACGGAAGCAAGGCCTGTGATGCAGTCTCCCTAGAAACAAAAGGACTGAGAAATGAAGAGCCATACTTACACGTGTCTTGCACGCCTGCTGACATCACCCAATCATGGAGGGCACAGTTCTTAGAACCCAGAGCTCTCCACCAGTGCTTGGTACACAGTAGCCTATTTCTTCAGTCCATACAGACTTGGGGTGGTTTGGGGTGTTGCTGTGTGTTCTTTATGCTTATGTTCTTAGAGTGTGGTCAGATGGGACAAGGACCCCCCACCACCACCACCTATTTTCCATCTGACACTGGGAAAGGCTGTGTGTGTCTTTAGGTTTTGTCTTAAAGAGACCTTGTCAAAGTGGGATTGCAGTCTGGGCAAGAAAAGGACAGCAACCTGGAGCTGGCCTCATGACAAACAAATGAGCTTGGCCTCTTGTGCAGACAGGAGCTAACTGCCCTGTCTTTGGAAATAGGATCAGTAATGCCACCAAGTTTCCATGGTTGCATTAAATAAAAGGTGACTACAGAATGCCGAGATTGGAAACAGGCTTACATTGTGTTTCCTTCCCAGGGAATCACTGGCCTAACCTCTTGAAGGTCTTTTGATGTAGGAACTAAGGTAGTGTCTGGCTAAATGTATTTTGAGTACAATTCTCAAGCCAAATGACAATTTTTAATGCAATCATGCAAACTTTCCTAGGCTGGCCTTGGACTTGGTATCCTCTTGCCTCCTGCCTGTAGCCTCGCAAGTACTGTGGTTTATAGTTAGGGGCCATGAGCCCAGCAAGAGACACTTTGGGGGTGTAAATTGTAGCAAAGCATGCACTCTTCCAGTGCAGAGCCCACCTCAACTACTGGAGGTCAAAAGAGTGGCTGGGCACCTAAGTTCTTAGCCTTGACTCTGGCACTGAGTCTCTGACCCTCCAAATGATTGGGTTGGCACACACCTTTAATCCCAGCGCTTGGAAGGCAATGGCAAGGTGGATATCTGTGAGTTCTAGGCCAGCCTGGTCTAGAGTTAGTTCCAGGACAGCTGGGGCTATCTAGAGACTGTCTCAAAGAAACAATCAAAAAGAGAGAGGTTGGGAAAGCCCAATGCTGTATTTGGAAATACACTGAAAATGAAGGCCCTTATCTGTGTGTGTGTGTGTGTGTGTGTGTGTGTGTGTGTGTGTGTGTGTGTGTGTGTGTGTGTGTGGTTCACACATGTAACTGCCCCACTGCTGCTGTTCAGAGAACTCGGGGGTGCATTTTATGGGATTTGCTGTTATTGACTGGTTTGGAATCAAAATACAGCAGGACCAGACTTGACTTTGGGCTGAAAAGAAAAAACTCCTGTCTGTTGAGAGTTCATTAATGAAATTCCTTTTCACCCTCCACTAGAGTCCCTCAGTGTTGTAGCCACTGCCTCGTGGAATGGTGCAACCTGCAGGTTACTTAGGAGTTCTGTTAGGGTTAATGCAGTTAGAAGGACCCTTCTCTGGAGTCCCCTTCCCCGCAGATGGTCACCAGGCCCCCACGGAAACTGGACAGTTCAGAGCATTGCCTGATTTCCTCACAGCACTCACAAAGGGCTAGCCTCGAATGTCACATGCCCTCTTCACCCTGAGTAGAGAGAGTACAATCATTTCACAGGTCTCTTGGGCTCACTCTGAAGACTGCTGCCTGCAATGCTGAGGAGACTCGCATGCTGCCACCACCACCTCACGGAGGGCGACGGCGCCTCACGGAGGGCGACTGCGCGCTCTCGGAACCCTGATGGCTACAGCTGCCTTGCCTTGCCTCCACCTCCTCAAAGAACTCTGTTCAAAGCACCTCGTCCCTGAAGGACTGTGCCCAACTCCCACCTATCTGACTATCCAGGGCCTCGAAACCCCCTACCCTGCGTCCAGGGGGGACTGCTCATCTGATTTCCTGCTTCCTGGCAAGCTGCCCCCCTCTGCTGGACAGGCGCTCTCCAGGTGCACTCGTGTGCCAGGCGGACCTGGTGCCCACAGACGGCCTGGGCTCGCCTTACCTATGGGTCACTAGCTTTTCAACACCTGTGCAGGTAACGCGACAGGTCTGTCTCAGACATCTTCTGTTTCTTTCTCTGCCACTCTTACGGAAACTCCCACTTTAAAAGACGGCAGATCAGAACTTTGTAGACCCCCCAGCCAGGACTCTGCTAACAATGTTCGGAAGAAATAATTGCTCTGAAAACAATCCGCCACCAAAATAGTTCACACGCATGGTCCCTGTGCCCCCAGATTGGGTGTTGTTTGTTTGGGGTTTTTTGGGGGCTTTTTTCATGTTACATCCATATCTGTATTTATATCTTATTTGTTTCACCTTCCAAGTGTATCATGGCAAATGTACAGATTTTTTTTGTTGTTGTTAATAATGTGCTTAGGATTTGCTAAAAAACAAAAATTAAAAAAAAAAAAAGACCTTGAGTTTGCCCTGGAATATGCGACAGTTCAGTTAAAACTCCGTGTGTTACTGTAAGGACCCTCAGGTGACCTGCAGTTTCCTGTCAGATTGCCATCATCCTGCTGTGTTTACGAAGACACTGAGAGTGACCTCTTAGTGACATTAACGGGTCAAACCTGAGAAAGCCAAGTAGCCCCGCCAGTAACGGCACTTGCCTTGCGGACCCGACAACCTGAGTCTGATCCCCAAACCTACACAAATGTAGGAGAGAACAGACTCCAGCGAGCTGTCCTCCAGCCTGCACTTGAGGGCCAAGGTGTGAATCTCCCCCATGCACATGCAATAATAATAATATATTTAAAAAGAAAAAAGACCAGGCATGCCTTTAATTCCAGCACTCTAGGAGGTTTTCTATTCGTGAGTTCAAGGCCATCCTGAGCCACATAGTGAGTCCAGGAGTGCTACAAGCAGTCAACAAAACACCAAGGCCTAACTTGATGGTGCACACCTTTAATCCCAGCACTCAGGAGGTAGGTAGATCTCTGTGAGCAACAATGTGAGTCCACAGCCTGGTCTACATGGCGAGGGCAGACCCTATCTCAGAAAAAATAAACCAGGTGGTGGTAGTGCATGCCTTTAATCCTAAAACTTGGGAGGCAGAGCCAAGTAGAGCTCTGTGAGTTCAAGGCCAGGCTGGTCTATATAAGTTCCAGGACAACCAGGGCTACATAGACCCTGTCTCAAAATTAAGAGAGGTTCAACTGTCCAGAAAACCCTCCTCTATCCAGTGTCTCCTGTGAGCAGGGAAGAAATTGACCTTGGCTCCAAGACTGGACCAGACCGGATGAAGATGAGTATTATCCCATATACTGTCTTGGCTCTGCAGCCCTTGGACCTAGGGTAAGGCCTGGCACCGGATGCTAGGGACCAACAGTAGTGTGGTCTTAGGAGAGAGGACAGGATGTGGTGGGTCCACATTCTCCTTGAACCGTGTTAAAACCCTGACTTCTAAAATTCTTGTTAAATTGTAACATTTCCCATTTTGACATTTGTCTGTGTCTTTGTGTGTGTGTGTGTCTGTGTGTAGACAATTCTCTCCTCCTACTGTGTGGGTCCCAGGGATTGAACTCTGCACTTTTATCTGCTGAGCCATCTTGGCCCTTTAAGAGTGTATTTCAGTGACATTAAGTTCACTCGGTGCTCCAATGTCACCACTGTAGTGGTAGAGTCCATCTCTGGAACTCATCTAGTGAGACCATCTACTACCGCTGACTCCCGTCCCCACTACTGCATTCCCTGAGGGGCTTCTGTGTGCACATGTGTGTGCATGCAGGCCAGAGGACAATCGGGTAGTGGTCCTCACATGCTGTTCACTTAGCTTGAGACAGGCTCTCTCACTGATTGGATTTCACTAAGCAGGCTAGGCTGCCTGTGCAAAGAACCCCAGGCATCCACCTATCTCCACTTCCCCTGGACTAGGATTACAAGAATACACTACTGTGCTTGACTTTTTCTGGGAACAAACTCAGGTATTTGTGCTTGCAAGGCGAGAACTTTTTCACTTGAGTGGTGCCCCTGCCCCTGTCTCTGAGTATAACCCTCTACATTACATAACTCTCAGGAATAGAGTCAGACAGAGGATCTCATCTTTCATGATCATCCTAATTTATCTGATGGGTCATGGTGTCCTCACAGTTCCCCCATGGCATAGCAAGTGTCACAATCCCCTTTTTTATAAGGCTGAATAACACCTGGATAGAGCCCAGTCTCAGGATCTCACAAAGGAGGCTGGGATAGAATTGTGAGTTCAAGCCCAGCCTAGGCCGTGTAGTGAGCACCCATAAGAACGAGGTGGAAAGGAACCACTTGGCAGAAGTGCTGTGGGGATTTAGAGGTGATGTCGAGCAGCTCTTGGCTGCTGGTCACCTGCTCAGCTCCCTCCATGGACTGAAGTACACAGGGTGGTGATGTCACCCGCACCCCTCCCCAAATGCTCGGGTTCCATTATTCATTAGCAAGCATGGAAAAACCCTGAGAGCAGAAGGATGGACTTGGTGTTCTCTGTGTGGTTTTCTAAGCCCAGCACCATTGCTGCTCCTTTTACAGAAGGCAGCCAGGCAGTGCTTGCTCTTCTAGGACGACGGCAGACTGGGAGCAGGGATGGAACCTCCAACTGTTCTTGCTCTTGGAAGGAAGTCACAGAAGGGGTCTGAATCCCCTGAAACTGCCAAGGTCTCAAGGTGAGAATCTCTGGCTTGAAGACCCCTCATGCTTATGACATTCTCATATCAGCAGTAAGGGTGACTGAGCACTCGACATCCTTTGTGAGGTCCTTGATGCTTTTCAAAATGAGTTTAGTTAGGGCTGATGAAATGGCTCAGCCCATGAAGGGGCTTGCCACAAAGCCGGGGACCCACAGGCTGGAAGGTGAGAACTGCCTCTTGGAAGTTATCTTCTGACCTTCACACAGAGAGAGAGAAAGACAAAGACACAGAGAGAGATGCAGAGAGCACACAGAGAGAGAGAGAGAGAGAGAGAGAGAGAGAGAGAGAGAGAGAGAGAGAGAGAGAGAGAGAGAGAGAGAGAGAGAGAGAGCACATACACAAGACACAAGGGGCTGGAGAAATGGCTATCAGCAGTTAAGAACACTGGCTGCTCTTTCAGAAGACCCGAATTCAATTCCCAGCACCCACATGGTAGCTCACAGCCTTCTGTAATTCCAGTTGCAGGGGATCTGATGCCCTCTTCTGTCAGGGCGTTGGTGGCGCACGCCTTTAATCCCAGCACTTGGGAGGCAGAGGCAGGCGGATCTCTGTGAGTTCGAGGCCAGCCTGGTCTACAGAGCGAGTTCCAGGACAGTCTCCAAAACGATACAGAGAAACCCTGTCTCAAAAAACCAAATAAATAAATAAAATATAATCTAAAAAAGTGTCTTACAAAATAAAAATGGAGGTAAAGCCCCTTTTGTTTCTGCCATTAGACAGCATAAGCAAGTTCCCAGTCAATTCTCTTGCCTCTGGCTCCCATCTTGCCATAGGAGTGCTGGGACAACAGACACATTTGACTTTTTACTTGGGTCCAGGGGTTGAACGCAGGCTGTCTGGCTTTTTTTTTTTTTCAAGCAAGTTTTATTTTACCAGCTGAACCATCTCATGTGCCCATCTGATGTTTTGAAGAATTCTCATCTGTGACTTATTACAGATCTACAGATAATGGAGCTGCTGTCCTGTTCCAGTTCCAGATGAGGATACTGAGGCACAGGAAACCCCCAGCCCTAGGCTCCTCCCTACCAGTTTAGCAGCTTTCTTCTCAATTGGGCCATTTACTTTCCCTGCAGTTAGGGAACTATCTGGCTCCTTGCACACAGCAGAACCCTGGGGAGTGCCAGCCCTTTAGAGCAGTGGTGAGCCTGAGAATGGATTCCCACCAAGTGCCCAGGTGATGCTGAGTCTGCCGGCCTGTGTCTCAATGAACTTTCATGAACGTTCTAGAGTCTAGAATCTAGACTGTGTCGGAAAATAGTGCTAGACCTCAGGAAACGTAGCCTGAGGGCAGCCTTGCCTGAAGTTATGGGTAACTATGGCAACAACCAACAACACCGTAACTAGGACCTTGGAAAGTGAAATAGGCTAGACCGGGGAGATAGTTCAGCTGGTAAAGTGTGAGCTAAGTTCAATGCTCAGAAGCCTTGTAAAAAGTTGGTTATGGTGGCACACCCTTGTAACTCCAGCGCAAGGGAGGGGGATGCCTGGGGTTTGCTGTCAGCCTTGCCTGATGTGTTAGTTCCAGACCAATGAGAGACCCTGTCTCAAAAACAAGGTGGGTAGCAATCCTAAGGTTATCTTCTCATGTACACACACCCGTGTACCAACACACACACATGCATACATATATACACATACCCACAAACTTTTTAGGTGAAATAGGTACCATGTTAGAGAGGGCCCAGGCAGAAGTGTTCAGGCATGCTGGGCACAAAGCTCTCTCTGTTCAGAGATGAACTTCCTCCATGAGCTCAGCCCAAACCTCCCTGACCCCTCTGATTCCTCCTGTATTTATTAACTCACACTTTGGAGGTTCCAGGCAAGAGCGGACAAAGGTCATGTGAATGGGCATCCAATCCTGGATTACGTATTGAAAGGCATTGAAAAGCATCTACTCCATGTCCTCCTCTGATGTGGGTCCTGCTGCCAGGCTATGGTCTCAGAAGCTGGCTCCTTCTCAGGCCCCCTCCTTGTATGTCCTGGAAGCAGACCAAGGATGTCTCTGCCTCTATGTCATACTATGGCCCAAATTCCTGAGGGACCTGTTGGGGGGGGGGAGTGGGATGGAGCACGAAGGCCTCCGGTTCTGGCTCTGAGCCTCTTCAGTGTCCTCCCCTAGAAGAGCCTAGAGAGCTGCTGAGGCATGTCTAATGCCTCACCTGATCAGGATCTATTTGTCTTCCATTTCCTGATCTATGCCAGGACACTGCAGGCTGCCGTATCAGTGATGAGCGCTTACTATCTGCCAGGCTCTGTTCCAGAGAGCTGTCTGCAATGAGCATCTGAGGCAGGAGCCCTGATCACTCCTATTTCATAGACTGCAGACAGGCACAGCAAGGTTAAGTCGTTTGCTTGGGGTCACACAGCTAGTAAAAAAGCAGAGCTGGGATTCAAATTCAGGAAGTCAGGACAGTGAGCAAGTGTTCTTTCTGCCAAACCTAACCGCATGATCTGAGTCCTAGAACCCACATGTGTACTATGACACACACACACACACACACACACACACACCACCACACACACGCACGCACTTGATGGGGGAAGTCCTTCTGTGTATATGTTGATGAATAAAGTTGATGAATAGAGAAGCAAGATAGGTGGGACTAGGAGTCTAGGAGGATTCTGGGAAATGTAGTAAAGAGAGTGGTCGCCACGTGATCTTCCCGGGAAGAGGATGCAAGTCTGCGTTCTCCATAAGATAAGACCTTATAAAAATATGTATTAGCAATTATGGGTAAATAATTAAGTCAGAGATAGCC